TTATTGCAAATGCACTTTTAGTGTGTATAGTTATGACGACCGACATAGTGCAGTAGCATTTTGTTTTTATGTCCCATGTGCACTGTACCTACACTTAGGCCTAAACATAATATATATATATTCCGATGGCGTTTACTTTTGCATCAAGAGAAATAGTATGAATCGATGTTTGCCCTACGTGGTCGAGCTGTTAAGACACCAGGCTAGTTATCTGGAGGTTGTGGGTTCGATTCCCACCCGAATCACTTTTCGAGATTTTTTTCTCTCAAGCATCTGGGAACGCACTACGCGTCAGGAGCCAAACATCGATTAGTATAATGTATATATATCTAAACATACGTAGAGAAGATTTATTGTGATACCATCCTCCAAACAATGTAACAAGTCACTGGAATTTAATGGCTGATAAAATATTTAAAAAAACACAACCTAAGAATAACTGTGCAAGTTACATAATTTCCTTATCACGTTTCATATCAATGTCCTGGTAGATGAAATCTTGACCTTACAACCAAATTCTAGTCTTAACCAAAAGGATGCTAAATCTAAACTTAAAGATGACGTGCAATCGTATTGGAATCTCCATGTGAGAGGGGGCTCCTTGTCCAGAGACGCTTTTATAAACTTCTCACTCTCCAAACTTCATGAACCAATTGGAAAAGCATCGTTGTCAATCTCCCACATAGCGTTCTTAAATTCATGGTCAATGCTTTCATTGACACTCTCAATAAGGTAAATCTGAAGAGATGGGGTATGGAAATCTCTAGGCTTGTGGAAACGGGGATGCTCTCCATCACATCCTTCTTCTGTAAGCGTTCCTGGACCAGAGCCGTCTCACAACTACTGATATTAGAACTGCTGATGAGGGCCTTAGAGCTCTCCCTCTCACCTCCGGATATTCATTCTGACCCTGTTTCCGGATTCCATGATGTCCCCCATTTTACCACCATCCCTCTTGAGAGTTCCACCACAAATTTAATTCCAGACCACGTCAGCATCTTCTGGAAAAATCTCAAGAAACTTATCTTCGAAGTGACAGTCCCTATTTGAAACGGGCATTGACTCTGCACACACATTCAAAACAAATATGTATTCCCCCTAATGTGACATCATGGAATCTGGTTATACGGTCGAATTCATTGCTTTTGAAGTCAAATCCCGTGGGTTCATCTCTGCCAACAATTCATCTCGCCTAAAGCGACTTCGCAAACACCTCATTAAACCGTATTCATTCAAACCTTTCAAAACAATATTTCAAAATTGTCTGTTGCATCGTCCTTTATCATTTTTTACGCCAGAGATAAACCCACCCACATCTTAACTTTAATTTGTTTTTTTCTGCTGCTCATTGTGTTTGTTTTCTCATATTAAAGACAAGACATAGGGTTTTCCTTACGTTCCATTTTGCCACATTTGTTTTGTTTGTATATACAAAAAATATATATTTTTCTATACTATTTCGTATTGTTGAAATTTTAATGTTTTTGGCAAACAAAATTACAAAAAATATTGATTCTGTGATTTTCATTATTTCTATAGGAGAACTCGATGAGATTAAGAATAACATTTCCAGTCTTCGTTTTGAATTGATAGAACAACTATCTCATCAACCGAGGACACTAGCCCCCGCTAATTCGGAATCATTCGACAATGAAGATAGTATTAAAAATAAACTAGCTTCGATTGAACAAACTATGGGCAACTTGAGCAACCGGATCGATGAGCTTCGAGACGACTTGGTTCTTCCAAGAAGCGATGATTGCCGTGATATAAACATTGAGTACAAACATTTACAGAACAATGAAGGGCATGTGAATCCAGCCTACGTAGAACATGCATCAGAGCTAGAAAAACCAGATTACGTCTGATCTGAGATTACTGTTAAGAAACTGAGTTTAGGTCAAAATGCAGAAATGGAGATTTTATGGTAACATTCAATCTGTCAATTTATGCGTGAAGCTCTTACTCGATGTAACCAATGCATAATTTTATCAAAGCCCTTTCAGTTTTTTTTTTTTATTATGTATTTATTGACGTGGTGCTCCATATTATTTCCTAGGTAAACCCCTGGTGATCATGGAACGTTTTGGCTATAACAATTCTCACACTCTACAAACAAAACACACAATAGAAATAGCCATAATTCGATTACAAATTACATTCAGTCAAATCTTGTTTTGCAGAGTTCAGTCAAATTATTATTTTTTATACTAAATGATTGATGAATTTAATATAAAATAGTTCTTAATCGAGCTATGACATGCTCATATTATTGTAAACGCAGAGACTTCTTGCAAGCAAACTAAGTATGCCTTGTCATCAGATAAACTACTATGTCTTTTTGTGTGCATTGTGTAAGCAATTCCGAATTTGAATATTCGATTTACCCTTTCGTCAAGCCAGAAATTATACGATGTATTATTATTAAGCATTGTCAAACAACGTAACGTTTAAAAAAACTAAAAGTATGAGTATGTAGTTAAAAAAATAACTGTTATATTAATTTTAAATGATATTATCAACATAAAATGTAAAAATTATCTAAGATCTTAATCATTTGGTCCTTTTTTTAGTAGGGGTGTAAAAGGAAGTGCATCCTTTACTTCCCCATCTGAAAATATGAAAAGGTGACCTAAATATGATAAATAACATTTGACGGCAAGTGACTAACCTACTCGGACTAACATACTGACATACTGTTTACATTTCAATTAGCTCTTTTTGGGTGGATATGGCGTAATGTGTTATATAAATGTGATCATTTTAATATATCATCACCAGTAGTAGTAGCTTTTGTAAATATAAAATGCTAAAATAACGTATTTAATAAAAAGGTCAGAATTTAATCATAATTAGCATAAGGTAGCAAAATTAATGAATGCATCCAGGACTGCATGAGAAACCAATTTTTTAAACTAATAATTAGTCTAATATTTGAATATAATTGAATTGAACCAGTTGTTAGAAGGTCGATTAAAAGTTAAGAAGAGAAAATAATGATTTGCTTGTCAAATGTCACTGTCCTATTCTTTGAATAGACACTTAAATGGAACTCAACAGTGAATTTAAAAATTCGAAAATAATAGATTGTTTCGATCTGTGTCTAAATTAAAGTTTCTAGCATATTCGATCCTTTTAGATTAATGGTGGTGATTAGCTATTTTAATGTTTTAATATAAATTTTGTGTTTACAGATTTAACACACACAGAATCTGACTTAAAAATCTACAGTATGCGCTGCTTGTTGCTGTTGCTGCTGTTGCTACTAATGTAGGCCTACTGTATCTTTTTGGATCTTAAAAATGATTATATTTTTAAACTCCATTTCAGTTTAGCTCCATTCTAAGATATATTTCAAGCTTATAATGTCTTTATTTTCAAGTTTGAAACCTCCTAAGCTCATACCTAACTCTAAAGTGTATTCTTCAAAATGGTGTCTCTTAATTCTTTTCAATTTAAAGTGTTTGTGCTTTTCACGACAAAGAAATCCAATCCAATGTATAGTGGTTGATGTCAGACTAATTTAATTTTAGAAATTTCAGAATAAACAATAGGATGATATTGCATGTTACAACTTCTGATGCAGTAGAAGCAGTACGTATAAGCAGCAGCAGTAGTAGCATAGTAGTAGTACACTCTAAATGCAAAAGAGATAATTTTAATCATTATCATCATCATCATTACCATTATCATCATCATTATCATCATCATCATTACCATCATCATCATCATCATCA